TTTGGTCTCAGCAACGCCCCTAGTACTTTTATGAGAGTAATGACCCCAAGTCCTTCGCTCATTCCTTGGAAAATTCGTCATAGTCTATTTTGATGACATTCTAATCTATAGCAGTTCGGTGGACCAACATCTAAACCATTTAGGCCAAGTTTGTGATGTTTTGAGAAAGGAGCAACTCTACGCAAATCCCAAGAAATGTAAGTTCCTCACAACTAGCGTCTAGGGTTTATAATATCGTCGCAAGGAATTTCAGCCAATCCCGAGAAGGTACGAGCAATCAACAAGTGGCCTGAACCTAAGACTATTAGAGATGTTCGGAGTTTCCATGGATTGACCACATTCTATAGGAGGTTTATTAGGAACTTTAGCACAATAGTGGCACTCATAACCGACTGCCTCAAGAAAGGAGATTTTCAATGGACTGTGTCTGCCTCTAAGGCTTTCGAGGAGATAAAGAGGAGAATGGTAGAAGCTCAAGTTATGCATCTACCCGATTTTTCAAAAGTTTTTGAAGCAACTTGCGACGCATCGGGGATCGGTATAGGAGTTCTATCACAAGAGGGACATCCCATCGCGTATTTTAGTTAGAAGTTGAATGACATCCGACAACGGTACTCCACCTACGATAAGGAGTTTTATACTAACATTCAATCCCTTAGGTATTGGAGACACTATTTGTTGTCCCAAGAGTTTGTCATCTTCTCTGACCACGAAGCCCTGCGTTACATAAATTCGCAAAAGAAGATCAATGCACGACATGGTCGCTGGGTCGAATTCCTCCTAGAATGCACCTACACCATCCGGCACAAAGCCGGGGCTGAAAACAAAGCGGCAGACACCCTTAGCCGTCGGATGTTGATAACTCAAGAAATGAGAACTGAAGTGATTGGATTCGAGCGCCTTAAAGAAGACTATAAAGACTGCCCTGATTTTAGTGAGACCTATTCTCGTTTGACTTCCGGACATGAGCGTACTATCAATGATTTCTTAGTGGAAGATGGGTACCTATTTAAGGCCCAAAAGCTCTGTATTCCCCAAACGTCTCTTCGTGAATACCATGTATGAGAATTATATGCAGGAGGTTTAGCTGGCCACTTTGGACAATCCAAGACTATTGCCGCCTTAGAAAATCGATTCTATTGGCCTAGTCTTAAGCGTGACGTTAGTAAACTTTTAAGGAGATGTCACACCAGCCAGCTTGCCAAACAACGCAAGCAGAACACGGGACTCTACACTCCACTCCCCATACCCAATTTCCCTTGGCAGGATGTAAGTATTGATTTTGTCCTGGGTTTGCCTAAGACTGTTAGGAAGCACGATTCTATCTGTGTGGTTGTTGATCGGTTCTCAAAAATGACTCATTTCCTACCATGTTCTAAAACTTTTGACGTCTCTCGGGTCGCTAAGCTTTACTTTGACGAAATAGTTAGACTTCATGGTTTACAAAAAAACCATCATTTCCAATAGAGAAGTTAAGTTTACGAGTCATTTTTGAAAAACTCTGTGGCACAAGATGGGTACAAAACTACAATTTTCTACAGCCTTCCACCCCCAGACCGATGGGCAAACCAAGGTTGTTAACAGGAGCTTAGGAAACTTCTTAAGGACCTTGGTAGGTGAAAACCTTAGAGATTGGAATTCTAAGTTACCCATTGCTGAATTTGCCTATAACAACTCTGTTAACCGAACCACGGGTCTGAGTTCGTCTGAAATTATATACGGATACCAACCTAGGCAACCTATAGATTTAATTCCCATGGGTCCTAAGTCTAGAACATCCGAGTCTGCATCTGTATTTGCATCGTATCTACAAGAATTGCACAAAGAAATTAAAAAGAAAATTGAACAAAGCAATGCTAATTATAAACACAATGCGGACCTCAAGAAACGATTTAAAGAATTTGAAGTAGGAGGCTTTGTGATGGTTCAAATTCGTCCGGAACGGTTCCCGCAAGGGACCGTCAAGAAGTTACATGCAAGAAGAGCAGGACCTTTCAAAATAACATTTAAAATAAATAGTAATGCTTATATGCTAGACTTTTCCGAGGGTTTTAACATTAATCCTACATTTAATATTGAAGATTTTGTAGCTTATGAGGATCCAAAGTTTAACCCCACCAATCCATTACATAATGAGCCTTGTGTGATCCTATCTGGTGAGATCCCAAGCCTACCTCCACTTCCAAACATTCCCACTTTACCTACTGCGGAGAGGATTGAGACAATACTTAGCGATGAAATCATTTCCACTAAAGACGGTGGTCGCCAAAGGTATCTAATTCAACAGGCAGGAAAGCCGGAGACGGAGAACGTGTGGATCGACCGGGATGAGCTGTAGAGATTGGACCCTGACCTACTAGAGTGGTACGAGATTTCTAGAGATGCTTGCTCGACGGGATCGAGCTTTCTCCTACCTGGGGAGAATGATGAGGACATCAGATTTTGACATGTGTACCATCGTCGGAGACGCAGATCGACGGCTACGATCCAGAGCCTTTATTTATGATTTATTTTGTATTTTATTTATTCTCGTAAATTCAGATTTCTAATTATCTCTCCCAAGCCTCTACCTAGCCCACCCGCCCCTTCTCCCCTTCATCCTACCCGAGCCATCTTCCCTCCCTCCCTCTTGGGCCGAATTCCTCCCAAGTGATAGCTCCCCCTCCTCAACGTTCCTACACACGATAAGGATTCCCCATGGTCATGCATGGCTGATCCGGAGTGTGACCACGGATTTGTGTTCGATTATCAAGGAGACATCGACGTCACCCGATCGCCATTCTTTGACGTTGGGTTCGGATTCGACCACACCGTCGAGGACTACTTGAACCGCATCCTTTCACATCTCGTGGACATCCTCGACAAGCAACTATCGGCAGACGAGTGGACCATCATCAAACGCCTACCCGCTCCCCCAACTCCGGCTCATTTCCCGACGACTAGTCCCCTCGGCGTCACTTGTTTATTAGTGGTATCCTTAAGTTTGTGTGCAATCCTCTTTCGCTAAGCCGAGCGACAACAAGAGTGTAAGTGAGGGACTTCGAGGTGAAGGATCTAGATCTTAAACCGTGGATTTATGCTAATGGCCATTTGTTTATTATTTATTTGGTAGTGTAATTTTGTTAGTCTCTTGTGCTTTAATTGTAATCCATTGACATTGCTAAGTTCTTCCATGAAAATTTTCTGACGATCTATCTTGACATACATCCATTTATATTTAACTTCGCAAGTTCATAAATCATTAATTTCTTCATGCAATTCTTGATTGTATTCATCATTATCTCTTCAACACATCAAGACTCTAATGGCCAATAAAAATTACTCATAGTCGTAACTTTAATAAGCCATGTTAGAGCAGCACAAATTTTTCTACAGCTCAAAGCTAGGGTTCAAGCGAGTGTATAAGGTTAAACTTAACAAGCATACATATAATCAAGTCACTGACAGCTCTCCTTACTCAACAAACTATAATAAAGGTCGTAGTAAAAAGTTAAGTTCCCAAAGCTTATTTGACTCGATGAGCTCAAATGAGTCAGCCCAAAAGATTACACCTTTTCCAAGGGGTTCACTAAAGATATGATGTAAGACTTTTGGGTAAAGTGGGGCATAGAGATTTGAGGTTTAGAATACATTCATCAAGACAAAGTAATAGATTTTTAAAGTAGAAATAAGTATAACATTTAACTTCACAACCTCTAGATATTTAACTTTTTGAACTTAGGCCCTTGGTCCTACTTTTTTCCTTCGGTTCTTCTGGCTGTTCTTTATTTTGCATTGCAAATAATTCTTCTAGCTCCATATGGCCTCAAGTAGATAGGGAATTAAAGGAGAGAGTTTCAGGGAAAGACAATGAAAGATATCCATGGCTTGCTTCTTTATGGAGAAATAGAGGAGAGGGGCTAAGTTGGAAGGGAGAGAGGAATAGCTTCTTGATTCAATTTCTTTCATGAATAAAAATCTTAATATATAGATTATTATCTATAAAAGAAAAGATAATACAATAAATAATCAAAATTAGCTCCTAACTAACTACAAATCTAACTAATGGAGGAATATTCCTCCCACTTACTAATGGTAATGTCATCCCATTAACGTACTCTTAAGCATAATGTTGTTTCATGCTCCTTGTTCCTCCCCCTTATGAACATTTGAAATTCCTCCTTAATCCAAGCTTTAGCGGCCAGCTAGATGGAGTAGAGAGAAAAGGTGGCAGGTCTTTTTTGTGTGGCATCATTCAGACTAGCTTGTCCTGCAAATGTGATATTATGCAAGTATGTTTTTATTGCCTTTAGAGCCTCCTAGATCACAATGTGCATATGACAAAAGTAATCACAAGAAGCATAAACGTTTCCAAAATATACGCATTGATTTCAAGAAGTTATGATACAAAATTAATTGTAACACAACTAGATTCAAAGAATCAGTGGAAGAAAAAAAAACCTCAAAGAAAAACTGTTCTACGAAGCTCATTAAACACTACTAGATTCAAAGAATAAGTCGTAAACTAAGCTGGCATAGGCCCACTATAGTAAAGAGTAGTAAAATTTTGTAGATGGTTAAAACATCAACTCCAAAATATGAGAATGTTTCAATTCACCCAATAAAGAAGGGAAAAAAGCTGATAAGTAGATAAACTTTTGAATTAGGTTTTCAAATATAACTGATGCAATCAATGCCTGAATCTGAATTTGTCATGCAAATAGACACCCAACATTCAAGAGGGTATGTATTTATTTACGTAATGGGCAAGCCAGAAAGCCAACTACTGAAATAGAGGATGTCATGGTACACATGAAAAAACCCTTCAACTCAAGGCAGAAAAAAAAAATATCCACACTCATTGTAGTACTAATGTTACTGATATCTAAACATTTAACTCAAAGTAGAAATGAAATCCGCGTACAATAACGGGCTAATAATAAAATTTAATATATTAAAAACTACAGTTGTCGAATAAAAAGCATCAATGCATCAATGTAACTTGAGCAATAATTCCTCACCTTGTACCTTCTTCATCCTGATCTCGTTGTAAATCATAATTTCCGTTTCCCACACCTCCCTCTAAATCAATTGGAGAGCCTGGATCAGAGCTACCGCGACTCGCGACCACCAAGCTTCCGTCCCCACTGTTCCCGGATCCCATTTGCCGCGGGGGATGCCTCCTCTGATACTCAACACAAACGCAGATCATATGAACCACGCACTGTAGCACGTACCCAGCGATCCACAGCCTCAGAGGCATCGTTGACCTCTCCTCTCGGCTCATAACCAAAACCCCAACAGCTACTACGACGAACGCCATGTTCCACAAGATGTCGAGGAAAACCACCGGCCTTGAATACGCCCAATCACTCTGCCGGTCCTCTAGTTGCTCTGCGGCCGTCTCCCTCACCAGCATCGACGGCTCCCTCATCATTCGGCGGTTGCTGGCCCTCCGCAGAAACCGTGCCGCTCCCCTCAAGCTCGGCCGCGGCAACGGTCGCAATCCGCGCTCATACCCGCCCCCGGCACGCGCCCCGAGCAGCGGCGCCGGATCAATGGTGGCTCCTGTAAGCGGGTTGAGCGTCCTCGTTGCCGACATATGGATCGAAGGAAGAACCAATTTAACAATTTAAGAGAGTAATTGAGCAAATGTTACCGAAAGTCAGTGTAAAGCCCTAAAACACATACTGTGTGAGAGATGTGGAAGCCCTAAGCCATCAGATCGCGAATAGCTGCATGATTTATTCCTCCTCTAAGTGGTGAAGAAATCGTTTTGCCTCAAAGGAGGCAGCAGTGGATTGGAGTAACAGATATCCGGACGAGGAGCCGAGGAATTTAGAATACTGCGGTTACCCTTTCGAATTTTCCACGGCAGCGAACCGGTCGTGGCGGCCTGGTAATTTGGTCGGAATAAAAAAAAACCAGAAGACCGAGGCGGTTTTTTTTTTTTATTTTTTTTAAGTAGACCAATATTAAAATAATTAAAGATACAAAGTGAATATTACAAGATAATTAAAAAAAAATTAGAAAAACTCATAAATCCTGATTACTAGAAATTAAGCTTTCAAGCTAAATAGAAAAAAATCTAATGACCTATCCAAACAAAAAATGCAAAAAAAACTGAAAAATCACTCTCCAAAAAGGAACTTTTATTACGTCCTTTGACCGGATGTAGCTCTACATTCGGTCAGAGAATTGTTACTCGATTTTTGTTCGGTATTGCTATGTATTGTTTGATAATAATGAGGAATACCGCTCTGTGAAGACTAATACCGAGCAATACCGAGTAATCCCAAAAAATACCGAGTTTTTTTTATATCGAGTTTTTCTAGAAAAAACTCGGTATTTTTTGAGATTGCTCGGTATTGCTCGGTATTTCTCGGTATTGTCTTCACATAATGATATTTCTCGTTATTGTTGGTATTGCTCGGTATTTCTCGTTTTGTGCCTGCGATCTTAGTGCCGGCCAAATGTAGCTCTACATACGTTCACCGGACCAAATAAAAGTTCCCAAAAAGAACAAAGAAATACAAGTCTTTACATCTTAAATAAACCACAAAGCTAAAACAGCAAAGTTATCCATCCAACCCAAAGCGATCCTAAAGACTCATGCAGATCAAAATGTTAGAGATCATCCATGAAACGAACTGAACATCCTTCAGCATTCTCATAACAAGAGCTTAATAGCAATACATGGCATCATTCTCCAGCAAAATCTGCCAAACAAAAAGTCCATAGATTGAAAAATTATTCTGTGTGGAATCCGAACGTGTTCGGAGACGAATCCGGACGCACCACATCACCGGGGCCCAGTGCATCCGGTTACATGGCACGTCCCAGTGATGTGGCGCGTCCGGATTTATCTCCGAATACATCCCATAGACTAGCCAACAAACGAACAAAAAGACATTCTTAATCCTTGCAACCACCAAGAATCAATACCTGCCTTCATTATTCAACTAAAACCTTCCAAACAAAAAGATCAAAGATCAGCCAACAAACGAACCAAAAGCCAAAAATATCCTTATAGCCATCAAGAATTTGCATCCAGTCTTAAAAATCAACAGCATACCCAAACTCAATTCTTTAACCAGCCAAATATCTGATAGAAGTTAAGGGACAAAAGAAAACCAAGCAACAAAAATAAACCACTAAAAGACTCATGAAGGTTAAAATTTTTATCCGCTCCCTTATAAAGAAGAACAAACCAGGCAATCCCATAAAGAAATTGCCATCCAAGTCCAACCTATCCAAATTGAATGCAAATAAAAATAAAAAAACAAAAAATCTTGGTTGCTAGAATAGACCATCCAGATCGAATTATCGGTTGTCAAAACAGCCATCCCTAGGTCCACGGTTAAATTTTTTTACTAGCACATCATAGTCTCTTCCAAAAACTAACAAGTCGCCAAATTTATGATAGAAAATAGTTTACCTCGTTAAACAATTTCCATGAAGAAATCTTAGCAAAAATAGCTTGCTTAATCAACCAATAAGTCAAATCCAAACTATTGCAATTACCGCCAAACTTCCTTTCATTCATTTCCCTCCAGAAAAAAAAAAAAATAATGAACAACAAACAATAAAAAAGAACATATTCTTAACATCCTTAGACACATCTAAATCAGAAATAAAATAAAAAACTTGTAAGAGAGTAGACTTAAGAATGAAGTGCTTTAAACAAGGAATTAACTTAGAAATAAAATAAAATGTAAACTCACATTCAAAGAATAAATTATTATGCCTTTCAACAAAATTATCACAAAAAACACAAACCGAAAAAACAATAACATTCCTTTGTAGAAGAATATCAGCTATTTTTAACACATTTTTAACAGTCATCCAAGTATAGCAAGAGTTACGCAACACAAATCACGTATGCCAAACATAAGAGCACCAATTCATCTTAGAAAATCAATTATTAAAATCCAAATGTAATCTTTTAAAATTAGGCAACATCACCCCATTTCAAGTAATACAAGAACTATATGAATTTTGAATAGAAATATTAGCAACATTTAAAGAAACAAAATTATCTAAAGAATTAGGTAAGAGTCATCTACCACCATCGCTAACATTCTTCACTAAAAGAGAATGCCAAGAAGAGCTTAAATTTTTAATTAAATCATGTAGAGATCGACCTCCACACATACAGTCCCAATAAAAAGAAAGAGAGCTATTATCAGTAATAATAATAATAATAATAATAATAATAATAATAATAATAATAATAATAATAATAATAATAATAATAATAATAATAATAATAATAATAATAATAATAATAATAATAAATCTTATCCTTTTAGACCCAACCAAATTGCAAAGATTTTTCCAAAAAACCGAAGCCTTAAAGGAAGGATGCTTCCAAAGAGAAATGTATTTATGTTTGACCCAACTAGTAAAAGATCATTCTCATTTTAAATTCTCCAAATAATAGAACAACTAAAAGCATAATATAAAGCATTAAGGTCAGGAATACCTAAACCCACAAAACATTTAGGCTTATGAACACCTTTCCAAACAATAATATGCATTTTCTTAGCATTAACAACACTATGATAAAGAAAGTTAGAGAAAACATTTCTTATAAATTTAATACAAAACTTAGGTATAATCATATCTATGATCTAATAAGAGATGTAATTTGAAATGAAGAATAAGAAATTGCAGCCTACTCGCAAATGATAGAACCTTTTCCTTCCATCCAAAAACTAAACCATTAACTTTATTCATCAAAGGTTGAAAATTAGGCCCAACAAGCATTTTCGTAGAAATAGGAAGACCTAAATACTTCATACTCATATGAGAATTAGTAATATGTAAAATTTTGCAAATACTATCTTTCTCATTAGTATCCTTAGAAAACAATGCCCAACTTTTATTATGATTAATAAAGAGACCATAACATCTAGAGAAATAATCCAAAATGTCATTTAATCTCTTAGCATTAGCAACCTAAGCTTCACTAAAGACCAAAACATCATCCACATAAAATAAATGTGAAATATAATTATCACCAGCCACCATTCCCTCAAAATGAGAGTTAGAAGATATATCATTTATCAAGTTAGATAATGCATCCATCACTATACAAAAAAGATAAGGAGATAATAGGCATGCTTGACAAAGACCATAAGAAGAACTAAAAAAATCCTTCTAAAGAACCATTAAGAGCAACTGAAAAGAAAATATTAATCTCCTCAATACAACCTTTAATCCAAGAAATAAAGCAAACTAGAAAACCTTTTTGAGCCAACTTGTAGAAAATAAAGTATCGAGAAAGAGTATCAAAAGCCTTATGCATATCAAGCTTAACATAGAAATATTTTATTTTAGCATAATTAAATCCACTCAATAATTCAGAAGCTAATAAAATTTTATCTATAGAAATTATCTTTTTAGTAAACCCAGACTAACAAGGATGAATAATATGTGGCATAACAAATTGCATTTTATTGGCCAGAAATTTTGCCGTTGTTTTACAGAAAAATATTGCACAAGGAAATTGGTCTAAAATCAGAAATAAGATAAGCATGGGTGCATTTTGGATTAAGAACAATAATAAAAGCTGTGGTAGCTCAAGGCATTTTATTTTTAGAGAAATAATGCAAAATAGCCTTATAGAAAAAAGGACCTACAATATCCCATGTATTTTTAAAAATTTTGAAAGTGTAACCATCCGGCCTTGGAGCTAAGAAGGACCAGAGAAAATCAGCTTCTTAATTTCCTCCATAGAAATAGGATCAATAAAACTAGGCATACTCACATCAGGAATAGTTCTCCCCATCAAAATTACATTAGGAGAACTAATGTAGGTTTTGGAGGATTTAAAAACTTCTTAAAAGTTAAATAAAAGCATCAGATATAATATTAAAATTAGAAATCAAACCATCATAAATAGAAATAGCCTTAATATTATTTATGTTATGTCTACCATGAATTTTAGAATACAAAAAACCCAATTCATCCTCATCAATATAATGCCATCTAGCTTTAGATCTTTGAATAAGCCAAGAAGCCCATAATCCTTATAATGATTAATAAGAGAGTTTACCTCTTTTAAAGAAGTATTCAGTTGAATATCCATAGCATTACTTTGAATTTCTTGTAATAGTCTATTTTGTTTCATCAGAAGAATAGCGATTTTACCATAAATAAATTTTGAAGAAACCCAAGGTTGAGCTTTAATATAACCTTTAAGCTTATTGAACTTGTGATATAGATCATAGATTGGACTACCAACAATAGGCAAAGCAAAAGCCTCAATAAGTAAATCTCATAATTTTGGTTTAGAACACTAGTAATTTTTTAATATAAAATAGTGCTTAAAATTAATCATTTTATTATTAAAAAGAATTATTGGATAATGATCACAATACCTAGGCTTATCCAAATTATAATAAGATTAAGGAAAAATATCCAACAAAATCATATTTACCAAAACCTTGTCAAGTTTGATATGAATAGGATAATCACATCTTTGGTTAAACCAAGTGTAAAAGTACCCAATAGAAAAAAGATCTTTAACACCAATATTAAAAATGAAATTGTTAAAATCCCATAATTTTGATTAGGAATAATATTTCCTCTAGATTTTTCACTAGAAAAAATGACAGCAATTAAAATCACTAAGCAGAACCCAAGGAGAGGAATTATTTTTAGCCAAAATAAGAATATAATTCCACATAACTATTCTATCATTTGGATTATTAGAAGCACACCATCATAATAAGAAAAGAGTAATCATAGCCCACCTTAAAATAACTATAAATCATTTGACTAGAAGAAAAAATTAGAAAAAAAGAAACACGAGAAACATTCCATTTAATCCAAATTCTTTTAGGATCTGAGCAATGAAATTTATTACAACTATCTTCATT